TTCCTGCTCTTTCAGCTGGAAAGCTGATTGCCCATCACAATTAACAGTGACCACTTCTTCAATGAGAAACGGGTAACAGGAATGCAGAAGACCACTAGGGCGAGAAGACTACGTATATTCTACGTGCCTGTGTGACACCCAGTTTAATTCTCAGCAAACAAGGGTTCACAGCTGAAAAAAATACAGCGGCAGCTGCTATCACCAGACAATGTTTGAGCAGACAAAATTCTCCTCTGGTTCCTGCCGAATCATGAGAAAGTCTGATTGGGAGGGGAGTGTATGAAGAAGCGATTAAGCAAAGCGTTGCAGGTATCAAGTATCTGTAGCAGTATTTCAAGGAAAGGAGTAGCAAGAGTCCTGTCCTCTCGGCTACAGAAAGGGATGTCTCCCAGGTATAGAATCATAGAATGGTTAGGGCTGGAAGGGACCTTCAAAGGTCATCTAGTCCAACCCCCCTGCAAGGAACAGGGATATCTCCAACTAGATCAGGTTGCTCAGGGCCTCATCCAACCAGGCCTTGAACGTCTCCAGGGATGGAGCATCCACCACCTCTCTGGGCAACCTGTTCCAGTGTTCTACAACTCTCATGGCAAAAAATTTTTTCCTAATATCCAACCTGAATCTACCTCCCTCTATTTTAAAACCATTACCCCTTGTCCTATCACAACAGGCCCTCCTGAACAGCCTCTCCCCATCTTTCTTGTAGGCCCCTTGAGGTACTGGAAGACCGCTATAAGGTCACCCCGGAGCCTCCTCTTCTCCAGGCTGAACAGCCCCAACTCTTTCAGCCTGTCCTCATAGGAAAGGTGCTCCAGCCCTCGCATCATCTTCGTGGCCCTCCTCTGGACCCTCTCCAACTGGTCCATGTCCTTCTTATGTTGGGGGCTCCAGAACTGGACGCAATACTCCAAGTGAGGTCTCACGAGGGCAGAGTAGAGGGGGAGAATCACCTCCCAGGTAGTTCAGCCCCAGGCTGTGGAGATCCAAGAGTGCAAGGAAAGGACCTTGAGTACAACTCGGTGTTTAATTTGAGCAATGTGCTGCCTTTGCCATGTCGTGCTGAGCATTCACAGATCTCGTTCCAGACCAGCTGGAATTTCCTGCGCCTTTCGCGCTGCAAGGAGGACAATCGTTTTTAAGGGTTGTCAGTCCACCGCTTTGCACGACGATTAAATTCGTGCAACAAGAAAGGAAGTGAGAAAATCATCAAGCCGGCGCGAGAGGAATGCTGAGATGCTGCTAAACATCTACACCTGCCTGCACCATTCTCCTCTGGAAATGGTTTCACTTAAAAACTTCTACAAATACAACGAAAGGGTATTCTAATTAACGGGTGTGCAGGGCACACATTATTAAGCAGCTTCAACAGACTAAGACGTTGTACATGTCTTGGGAGAATAAAAGAAACTACTCTGTGTACATGGTGGGAGGAAGGTAGAAAGAAAATATACAGGCTGGGGGAAAAAGAAAAAAAAGACACTATGGAAGCTCCAGATTGCGTCCACAAAATCCATGCAGACAAGCTCTAGCTTTTGTTGGACGTTCTCCTCCTCATCAGCACAGGAAGAGAAATCCTCCAGGCTTTGGGTAATCTTCACAAGCTGTTCGGGGTGGGGATTACGGTGTCTGCGTAGGGGACTTGGCAAAAAGGTGCCTCAACCCACAAACGGGCTGCTGGGCTCTACGGAAACGTCAGACACCAAGATGCGGGGCGACCATTTGTGAGGGCTTCAAGGAGCCGTTCCTGCTGCCACTGATAAATTGGAGAGAAAACAAAGGCTTTCAGAGTCTCCTTCCAACAAGTCTACTATGCCAACCGAGCAAAAAATCAGGACCAGAGCAGAGGAAGCTGCCAGTGCTGGTTCAGCCTCAGCGCACGCCTTCTGTTACGGAGAAGCAGGAGAAAGGGGCGAGTTCCTTCTCTGATGGCACCTGCTCTGCTCCTTTGTTCACCTCTTTGGTGACCCCCTGCACTGCAGCGGGCACGGTACAGGTTGCTAAAGCAGCAAACAGAATAACTAGAAAAAGTTAAGTACCAGCGCAGCGTCCGTGTCAGGGAGTCATGCTCACTAACTAACAGATTTGTAAAGAGATGACCCTGCAGGTGAACAAAAAAAAAAAAAAAAAAAAAATATATATATCTCAAGACATAAAAGATGGAGCTGAAGCACCACCATTATAGATAAGTGAAAAATTGGAAGAGAACATCTACAGATATCAAGCCCAGGTGGGCTGGGGAGGATGGGGGACAGGAGAGACAAAAGCAGGGAAGGAAATGATAAGGTGAGTTGTGTGGAGGTATGAAGTACACAACGTGAAGTGGGACAAGGAAAAGCAGAAGGAACAAGCATCTGCAGAAGCAGGTGAAGGCCCATCCCAGTATTATTACACTCTACACATGCTACTAAGCGTCAGGAATACGAGGAGACCGGGAGCAACTTATCATTCATTGCTCCAGAGGGAAGAAGAGATGAAACATTTTCACTCTGAACTGAAGGTGAAAAGCACTCAAATTCCATAAGAAACTGCCAGGCTATATAATGAGCAGATTTGAAGCTACTTAGAGGAAACAGCATCAGAGAAGGATGTTCATCACCCTGGGCAGGCCACACAAATTAAGAGAAAGTAGAGCTGTGAATTACAATGAACAGAGACTAAATAGCTGCCTGTGTTGGATTAAAGGATTTAAATTGTCAGCTTGATGTATAATGAATGTGAAAACCCAGCACTTAATTAAATGGCACATGATAGAATAACTTTGTTATGCTTTAAACTGCTTAAGTTATCAAAGTATTCCTTATATTAGCAATTGTTTAGCAGGATCTCTCTCCCTTGTGAGTTCCACTGAGACATTGGTCCTTCACTCTGTGTTCAGCTCTGGCAAAATATGGAATTTTTGTTGTTGCTGTTCTGTAATGCGAGTTTTCAAGCATGACCAGTGAATTTCTGGCAATGCAGTCACTGAACGCTGCCGAGACACAGCGATGGGCTACCAGGTGCTCTAAGGACCCCACTGTAAACACTTTGGTACCAAACTGTGTAGACACTGGGGGCTGATCGTTCTTCCTAGATCACAGACCACCTCCCTGCTCATCCCCCCTAACATGACTGTTAGGTCTTCAGCCGTGCCTGCTCCCGTGTGAAGGCTCCCAGCAGAGGGGTGAGAGGGCAGCCCGTCCCCAGGCACCCTTTGCCAGGTCTGGCTTGTGCCAAAGGAAAACTTCAGCCTTAAGGAGGACATCTGCCACACGGGGAGACAGAATGTCTGTTCTGCCATTGCATTTTGATAACAGGAACCGACTTCATTTTCCAACCTGGGAAGCAAATCTAATTGAGTTGCTTCGTGCAGAATGAGGACAGAATGGGAATTACACACGAGGTTCAGCAAAAGCAGCAGATGAGGGATCACCATAAGGGCCAGGACGGGGCTTCTGAATCACTTTTTAAAAGAACCATATAGCACAGAAGGACTTAAAGGCTAAACAAAGGCGATTAGGAGGACTGCTCCATCCTACAGGGGTTGAACGAAGAAACATGACCACACAGCTCTCCAGCAAATTCATGACTTTTTTTCTTATCCTATTCAACCCGTCACATCCTTTTACATTTCTTGAGTCTCCAGCAACTCGCCTGTTGGTCATTCAAACCAAAGCTTTCCTTAACCCCAGTGTCCTTGTGCACACAGGATGGTCAGGAAGAGCACGAGGTAGGAAGGACCTTCCCCTTCACACAGGCACAACGAGGACACGGATCCTGGAGATGACTCGGTGGCCCAAAGGTCCACGTGTGCACTCAAATCAGAGATGTGTTACACGCAGGATCAAAAACCGAAAGACAAAAAGAAAAAGGTACTTACAGCTACTGCTATTCTTCCGAGTACGTGTTCTGGAATTTTTCTATAAACATCCAAAGAACCCCCTGCAGGGACAAACAAAATGTGCTTAGGTAATAATGCAAAATGAAATACTGCCCTAGATTTGAAGTCACAAGGGTTTTCCAGGCCTTGGTTATTAATAAAAACACCACCGATGATGTAACAATAACTGTGTCAGAAATAACTGACCTTAAAAATCTACCAATAAACACATGAAACAGCACTCTGGTCTCTTTTCACCCATGTTACTTATTTTTGCTTGCAGCATTAATACTCAAACTCCTTTCAGGAAACCTCCCAGTCACAGGACAGTATATCAAACCCACCAGGGTTGGCACAACTGCTTGGGAATCACAAAGTCATCCCAAAAAGTGACAGTGGGCTTCAAAGTCCAAAGTATCCAACCCCTCGTTCCCAAAACTTGGTGCCAGCATTACACGGTGTCTGACACGATGCTTGGAGATGTGCTTAAAGCTGTTCCCTCCTGACCATCAACCCAGTGAAAGTTTGGTTACGCCTTGCAGTCTGTGTCCACACTGATGCCTGGAAACGGAAGACAAGCTGTTCCTGGGCAAGCAGGTAAATTTTGCCAGTAAACTCCAGTATGGGACAAAATTTACTGCCTGGCATAACCCTGTCCAGCCAGCATCATCCGTTCCTGGGGAAAGCGAGAAACCTAAGTCCCCTGATCCCCAAGGGACTCAGAAGGATTGTTTCCCTTATCTTCTGCAAAGGAGATTCACCATTAATCCAGAGTTCAAAATTACTCTGGGATGAAACACAAATTCTTGGGCAAGACAGTAAATTTAAAATTGAGAATTAAGAATATCCAAGTAGAATGGCAAAAAAAACCCAAACGGACGAGCAAATTACAGGCAGAGCACATAACACTTGGCTTGCAAGAGCGTGTAGTTTTAGTCAAGGCTTGAGGTTCTCAGAAGTGCTCAGCACTGATGTAACTCTGCTCTCGGAACAGCCTATGGATTTTCCTGATGACACTGCTGGGAAAACACTTGGGGTCATACTCAGCAACTAAGAAAACTCCACCTTGTGCTTTGCTCATGGTTCAGTAAAAGTAAAACCCATTCATTCCGAAATGCTGCCATCCAAAACAGTCACAAGGTCCTAACTCCAGTCTTCAGGCTCAATTATACAATAGTTCTTACTCTAATGATGGCTTCTTTTTTTCTTGCTGTTTCTCTCCCTTATTTTCTCAATCCTCTCTACTGTCAGAAACGCAGTATGTGTTTGTCTTCACTAATGTTGCCCTGATTCCAGGTCATTGGAATTATTATTTGTTCATAAGTTGAAAGATGAAACTTAGTATCAGCCACGTTGCCTGTGTATAATAACGAACTTCAGTTTTGAAACTAATTTTAGGCATTATCAACGGAAACAAGAGGCTGTAGCAGCAGATACCTACTGCTCACCACAAAAGCCAAACAAAAGGCAATCATATGGCAGGTGGTTCCCGTTTACACTTCTAACATATCCTTACATTTTGGACAAAAAGATCTATTTTCATCCACCACACTGCTAAGCTTTGCTATTACAGACGTCACTAAAGGTAACGTCGTTTGGAAAATGAAGGAAAGCATATTTTTGCAAACAATTGGGGAAACCTGCCATTTTTCTACAGAGAAAAAATTCTGCAGTGACAACGTTTCCAAATCCAAATATGCAACGTCAGCTCCCAAATCTATGTGCAGATATCCAGGTACAGTCTGATAACCCGCCCCTCTCGCTGCTTTTAAGTGGAATTTAGCAAGTGCCCAGCAGTTTCAAGGAAAAGAAGCAACAACATAAGTAAAAGATAATGGTGCAATTTCACCATCTTTATTTACAAGAACATCATCTTTACTATAAAAGAGCAAAAATTAGAAAGCCTCGTTTTACATCTCTGTTGCTCTTTAAGATCAATTGGCAGGTGGGACAGTGAGCCAGGTCAGTTGAACCTCATTGCAGACTTGAAGTTAACTTGTTTTTTTCTTGCTTGCAGGTGCCAGGAAAGAACCAATATGGTACTTAAACGTGCACCTTTTCCCTACGTGTATCCATGAGTACCCCAAAAGAGGCAGATCCACCTATATCTAAGTAATTCATAAAGGAAATACCTATGTTTTGTAATACGGTATAGGACCTAACAGGGCAAACAGAGTCATGGGATACGGATTCAGGAAATCCTACAAACTGGCCTGAGACAGTCAAAAGGGCTAAAAACTTGGCAAGGTTGAAGTTGTTCATCTGCAGGATGAGAAAGTATTTTTTCCTAATCTATACCTGCACCCTCACGCATCAAAATTAAAGGTCAGGGATAAAAAAAATGGCAAGGTCCCTTTATTTGCATTCTGTTCTTCCTTTAACTGATGGCTGTTGCTTTCTGCCAGAAGGAGAGCACAACATGAGGCAGAGCAGAGGTCAGCTCCAGTATAATTCCAAGCAATTTGTGCATGGTCAGTAAACAGCATCGTGGTGCAACACCACGAGGGACGCACACCCTAAAGGCTTAAATATTTTCGAACAAGAATTCAGAACTGCAAGCTTTTATGTCCATCATTTTTAAAAAAATCTCTGAATTTATAGGAGCATAAGTACTCCAGGTAGATGCATGTTTTGGCATCAGCAGATGCTTCCTTACTGCACGTGCTGGCTGCTTAACACAGGCTTGCAAGTCTGAGTGCAACTGCAGGGCCAGAAGAGAGAAATGGCTAATAGCCACACAGCATGACAACAGCAGAGAACTGAACTCGTGGGCATAATACTTTTTCATCAAAGATGGAAAATCTGAGAGAATACTCATACTTGGAAATGGGGCACAGCGATCACCGAGACGGGGGTACTAAGTGTAAAAAGAGAGAAATAACAGTAATAACAGACCATTTTAACAGGGAGAAAACAAAACGCACCACAAAACCCTACAGGGCTTCATCCGTGGTCTCCATCAGGAAGAAAGAAGCTACTCGACGATGTTTAATGGCACACATTTGGCTTTGGAAATTTTTCCTGCCAGAAAGCCTTCCCTCTACAGCAAATTAGTCGCGAGATCCTTACTTCTTTACACCCAGTTTAACTGAACCTTTGTGGAAAATCTGGATAGGGCATAAAACGCTGGCTCACAAGAAAATCCTGGAGAGAGGAATAACTACGGCTCGTAACAACTACGTGACGTGCAGAGTTGAACGCTGCGAAGGGGGTTTTTGTGCACGAGACACGAGGGGACCGCGTCTGTCGCCAGGCACGCTCTCAAAATTGATACACAGAGGGCAGCAATGATTGTAAATTCCTGCAAACCGTACACTTTTCCTGCCTTTTCTCCAAGAATGCCACGCAGCAGATTGTCAAAGCGAAGCAGAAATACATCTCCATCATTACAGTAACATCGGATTGTGGGGAAGGGGATCCAGTTGGCCTGGAGGTTCACGTTGGGAGAAACACAAGAGCACTCAAACAGAAACTCAGCGCAGCACGGCTAAACAGCTGCGTTTGAAAATAACTCCTTGTCTTGCAATTAAGAGATGCTTTCCACGGAAAACACATAGGACATTGGGTTAATAGAATTCTTTAAAAGAAAAATCTGTTTTGGCTATCAAAACAGTAAAAGTGAGGAACAGCTGTTTTGTCAGCAAGGACAGATTGTATGGAAGACTCGAATATCAAACCACAAATTAAGCCAGTGTTTATTTCTGTTCTATTTACATTTTCAATAAAAGTAGGCGAAGTTACACTCGGGAAAAACACAGCGTACCACGGAGAACATAACACAATCCCAACACTATCAAAACTACCTGCAAAGTTATGAATATTTTACATTTTCCAGCCATACTATTGCATTTTCCTCCATTCTGGAAAAGCACATCTTTATGGCATTTTCCCATATACATGCTTAGCAATCAAAAGCACACGGATGCACAACTCACCGTCCATGAACTCTGTACACAACGAAATTCTGTTTTCTACAAAAAAAGCACCGTAAAATCCTATGATATATGATGAGTCACACTGGAAAAAGAAAGGAAAAAGAGAAGCCTGTTTTAAAATTTGCTGTAAGAGGATTATAAGCAGGAATAACAAAAATGAGAAGATCTATATACCTTATAAAGAATTTCTAACTCCGACATTATCTGCTTCTGGAGTTCCAGTGTTATATCTAAGGGTATGACCTAAAACACAAACAATGGACATATGATTAGAAAAAGTGAGTGAATGATTCAAAATAAACCCCAGAAGACCTATGTATTAATTATCCTTAAGTCAGAAAAGGAAAGAGGAATAGCTGGAAAGAACATTTGAACAGAGTGATGAGCACAGGAAGGAAATGAAAACGAAAGGACAGACTTCTTTACTCTTAAAAGTCAGATACGAGTAAACTTAAGTTTTACAGATGATTTTAATCCATGAAATGTCCCAAGATTCTGACTCAACTCAACAGATGAGTCAGAACTTGAGCACAAGCCCTACACGTAACGTAAAGAGCCGCGCTGTGGTAGATCAGCAGGTTGGTAAACCTCAGAGCTGCTGCTTATTCACCCAAAGTGTGACCACGTCCCAGCTCCTGCTCGGCACAGCCACCTCCTCATCCCCCCAGCACTCATTCTTCTCACTAGAGACGTCTTGTGACAAAGCCATTAGGTCTTGTTGAATGTGCAGATGTTAACTCTGAGGGCTAAATAAGTACTGCAGTATTGAAAGTATCTCTGGATGTCTCAGTGGTGCCCTAAAGGAGGGTCTCCTACCACTAGTCTTACAGTTTCCATTTCTTCCACATTTACACCCTTACGTACACAAATTCCTAACACAGTATATTTGCACGAAACATGGAAAACTTTTAAACACACAGAAAAAATGCAGATGGTGGCAGATGGTAGGTGCTTAGGTAAGCATCACCAAAGCATTCCTCAAAACAGCTTCAAACAACCTGACTTCGAGCACTCCAACCAGCCGCTCGCTGTCCTGCTTCTCTCCTGCATCCTTCATCCATGCCCTCATTTTTCATCACTTTGAGCCTGGCTGCCAGCCAGGACTAAAGTACCAAGTGGAGCAGTGCCTCCAGTTACAAGTTTTCAGGATTTTCAGGACAGACCCTTGTAATAAGGATGCTGGTTCCAACAGAACCAGCGTTGAAAGTTGACTTTTACAAACAATTCTTTGCCATGATTATTTGAAGAGTTGCACGCTCAATTATTAAATATTTCTATAGAAATCAAAACGGACTCTAAATGCATTTAGCCCGGCTCAGTGTGCTGCCACACAATATTTCACAGTTTAACCCTTTAAGCTAAAAGGAAACAAAATCTAGTCAATTTGCAGAATTAGCAGAATAGATATTACAGGCTGGGTTTACTGCTGATGAAACAAAATAAAGACCATTTCCAAACACACGCGTTTTACAGTATCAAAATGTGTCTAAAAGAAAAAACGATAACCTGTTTCTATCAAGAGTTTGCTTTAGGGTTATTTATAAAAGCTGTCACTAAACTAAATTGTAAGTGTAATACAGGGCTGCCAAGAAACGTTTAACGCACTTGTCTAGATCAATAACCATTTGCCAACAATATTCACTTACATTTTCCCGGCGTGAAAAACCTAAAATAATTTGCTGGGATACCATCGGTTTTACCAATTGAATATTAACAAAATTTCACCTCGTCAACAGGCTAAAATTAAATTTTACCTCACTAAACTCTATTTGCAGTGAGAAATCTCCCTGCCTCGTTCACCGTGAAGGCTTCGCCGACCTGAACAACGACTAGTTAGCGCGATGGGCGTCAAATCCATCGGCGGCATCCAACCACCCAAGACCTGGCGTGAAGAAAGGTCTCTGGCTGATTTGCATGAACTATAATTACACACAGACCCTGCATTCTAATCGTGAGGACAGCCCAGAACAGCAGAACTTCCCTCCTGACACACGTTTGGGATGCTATAGGGTACGGCACATATAGGAACGCGCTGTGACGGTATGGGAAACGAAGATCCCTGCAAAACGAATTCGGAGAGACGACTGTCTCACTTTCTCTGCACAGCTATTGTACAGAAGTGTTTGCTTCCATCTAAACACGTGTGACAAGACAGGAGAGAAACCCATCTGATGTCAAGGTTGGAGAGACCTTACTTACAGCACTGAAATAGGGGCAGAAAGAGGAAAATAAAAGTATCTACACAGCACTGCCTTAACCTGCACTTGTAATCTCCGCGGTCATACTCCTTTTGTGTAAAATTTCCAAGCCTATTTAGAAAATGAAGTTTATACAGGTGAACAAACTTTTAAGAATATGTGAGCTGACAGTATTAAGTATTAAAGCAAGGAAAATAAAAAAAAAACACCTCCTCAAACCCATTGCTAGCAAGGGTGAAGTTGTGAATAAGGATTTTCCTGCAACTTCCACAATTGGAACACAGCTAAGCGAGTAAGGTGTAACATTAGACAACAAATTTTTCCAAAACGACACCTTTTGGAAAGAACTTTGTAGCAAATAAAAAAAATCACTATGATCTCACCAGAATGATTGAGAGCAGAAATGAGTGAAGCCAAATTCATCCGGCATAAAATAACCCACAGCGTCCAACACGTGCAGGAGCAGAGTTCCTTAACAAGTTTGCACCAGAAGCTACAGGAAAAGTTGGAGGAACGGAGGAGCCCGGCAGGTTGCCGCTGATCAGTGGTCCCCAGCCACCCCACCCCTGCCACGGGGTACCCGAGCCTCAGGGATGCGGATGAACAGGACCAGTCTGGAGATGGGACCAAGGGCAACCTGGACTGGCTGGGGAAGACAAGCTGGGAGCTGAGCTCTGAGCTCCAGTGCCTGCCCTGAACTCAAAATTAGTTGAAATGGTGCCTCACGGGTAGAGATGGAGAAGGTTCCTAGATAAGGGGAGCAATTTTTTTTTTAATTTAAATGACGCGGTGGTCCGC